AAAAAAAAACCTTTCCTTTCTTCCTCCCTTTCTTTTTTCCCTTCCTGTACACATCTAGAAAACTTCACCTTTCTAGAGTCCTCCCAAAACAACACAAAAGTGACTGTGGGTGCTACTGGTTTTATGCTGTACTGTGGGGCGAGGGGGAGACCTGTCTGTACGCTGGAAACACTCATAACCATTCCTTTAGATTCGTTTGCCTTATGGTTATTTGTCATAAACGCGATTTGCAAAAACAAGGAGCCTTAGTGAATGTACAGTACCTAGACTTCTGTGTTCTCAGGACGCAGAAGGGAGCAACTTTGCTATTTGGTCCAGTAAGTGGACACCTTGTGATATAAATGTGGAAATAAAAAAAAAAAAAACAAAAAAAAAACCATTTGCACAAACCAGTCTGAGAATCTTTTCTCATTTGGACCTTCACAACCAAATCAGCCCTTTCCTGGATTGTGGATTAGCCAGAAAGACCTAGACGCCAACAGCCGCAATGCAGGGAGATAGGACAGGGCACTGTGCCTTGAAGTCCACCTGCTAGCCTGCTGCTGCATTTGGGAGGACCTTCACATTTTATTCATTCAGGGCCACATTAAGGAACGTTATCTTGTCTCACCCAGACTTTACCTGGCCTAGAGAGCAGCCCTCCGTAGGAGGCTCCATAGCATAGGTCTCAGTGACTACCCCCACCTTAACAAAATACCAGAGGCTCAGAGCTGTGTGTGTGTGTGTGGCAGCCCACCCTGTGGCCCTGGCCCCCGGCTGCCTTACTAGCTGGTTGTTGCTGACTCCAAAAAAAATAGTTCTCCCTTGACTATAAAGTGATCATCTTTTAGTTCCCCCTCTTCCCTGAAACTGTAGGCTAAGACTTTGGTTTTCTAGTTTTTCACTTTGGAATAGGTCATCTTATCCATATCTGCTTAATTTCACAAATGAAGAAACAGCTACACCTTAAGACATGCAATCTCACAGAGCAAACCAAGGGTTCCTTCCCGCCTGTAAGACTACAGTCAGTCCAGAGCCAGTTTCAGAGCTAGCAGGGATTCCTGGCAAAAGCTTGGTGCAGAATACACTCCCCTCCCCAACAAAAGGCCATGGGCAAAGTGGCTTTGAAGGCAGGATGAGGTTGAACCCAGGCCTGCCACCCACCAGCTGTGTGGCTCTGAGCTCATCTCTTCACTCCTGTGCACATGTCCCCATTTGGGGGGTGAAAATACCTACCCCAGAGTTTTGAAAACTAAAACACACAGCATGTCAGTGGAAGTATCTGACACTCAGCTGTGCTGTAGGGTGCCTATAGTTACATTTTCCCAAGTTCACTGTGCCTATGTTTACCAGCTCTGCTGATATGTGGTGTCTCAAGGATGTGACTTTACTCTGATAACACACAGGGCACAGCTGGAGGATATTAGGGTGCAGAGCTTGGCCTCCTATCAGCATCTCTAGAACTTTGGGACAGGCTGCAGCTCCCCCCTACCCCTGCCTGCAGGGACTACCATGCCTGTGTCCATGTATCCAGGAGGGCCTAGGGCACTAATGTTACCTGCCTTTGAGAATGCAAGGATAAGCAAAGATACCTTCCAACATTTGGGGGGCCAAGTTGGGTTGCTGCTTTCTACTCTTCTTTGGGACTGGGTCTTGCTCTGTCACCCAGGCTGGAGTGCAGTGGCGCCATCATAGCTCACTGCAGCCTTGACCTGGGCTCAAGCCGATCCTCCTACCTCAGCCTCTCTAGTAGTGGGGACCACAGGCGTGCGCCAACACACCTGGCTAATTTTTGTATTTTTTGCAAAGACGAGGTTTTGCCATGTTGCCCAGGCTGATTTCCAACTCCGGAGCTCAAACAATCCGCCCGCCTTGGCCTCCCAAAGTCCTGGGATTACAAGCTTGAGTCACCGCACCCAGCCGGTTGCTGCTTCTAATTTAACAAGTAGAAACACTGTAACGGGGGCCGGGCGCGGTGGCTCAAGCCTGTAATCCCAGCACTTGGGAGGCCGAGACGGGCGGATCACGAGGTCAGGAGATCGAGACCATCCTGGCTAACCCGGTGAAACCCCGTCTCTACGAAAAAAATACAAAAA